CCGACAAACTAAATCATATTAATCACTGCACCTCTTTTCCAGTGGGAACCTTTTAGCTCAAAGCTTAATTCATCCAGGTGACGGCTTTAATGCTTTCATCTCTGTCTCCTGTATGGAACAGAAACACTTCCTGTCCACTCCTACATGAACATAATCTCTTAATCCCCGTTGACTAATTCTTACTACCCCCCCCCCCTCTCTCATTTACAGCGCTGTCATCTGAGGGCTTTGTCCCGTCCATCATCCCATCCTTCAAGCAGACGCAGTCTTCCACATTTTCATAACACAGGCTGAAAACATGGAGTAAAACTGTCCCAGAGGAGCGACTGACTGAAAAAACAGTGCCTAACAATAATGAAGTTAGTCCTTCAGTAGAGAGCCATTTTATTTCAAATGCTGCATTTTCCCTGCTCCGCTGTGTCGTCTGCTGCGTTTAGGTACACAAAGCACATCCATTAACAGCCTTCAGGTAACGAGGGCTGGAAACATGACTCACTCAACTGTTACATGAAATGAAAGCGTAAGCTGAAATCTGCACAGAGACGACTAAACACGGCGTCGGTCAGCAGGGTGGTTAAAACACCAGCTTGACCCATGTGATGCATCGTGCCTACACTATGCTAAATGGTAAATGGCCTGTATTTGATATAGCGCCTTCTAGAGTCCTGGAACCCCCCAAGGCGTTTTACAACACAATCAGTCATTCACCCATTCACACACACATTCATACATTGGTGGGGATGAGCTATGATGTAGCCACACCTGCCCTGGGGCGCACTGACAGAGGCGAGGCTGCCGAGCACTGGCGCCACCGGTCCCTCCGACCACCACCAGCAGGCAACGTGGGTTAAGTGTCTTGCCCAAGGACACAACGTCAGACTGAGAGGGGCTCGAACCTGCAACCTTCCGATTACGGGGCGAGCACTTAACTCCTGTGCCACCGTCGCCCAGGAGGACAAATCCTATCAGGAGGACAAAAGCAATCCGTTTCCCCAAATTACGACAATGTTTCAGTAATAATATGACAGCATTACAATCATATGCACATTTTTGTCTTCATGCTTTTATTTTGATAAAATAAAATTCATAACTTCCAGTAAAGAAAAATACAAACAAAACATAGTTGCGGATCACTCATCTAATCAATACATTGGCAGTGGCCTCTAGTAGGAATGAATGCCTTGTAAGTCATTCTTGGGGGAAAAAATATACTGGTGCACCATTTCCAGGAACTAGCAGCTACCCACATCACAGCTGAGCTTCAGACGGCAGGTTTTGAGTCTTATTTCCTGATATTTGTACATCTCATCTCGGATTGGATAACAGCAACACGATTCTACCACTGACCTGCAACACTGGTGTTTTATCTCCACCAATAACACAAGCCTGGAG